TTACAATTTATACTACTCTCTACTTGTCAAAACAGTATAATCAGTGAGAATATAATGAGTGCTACAAAGTAGAAAGTTTTCTAGACAAGGCCTTGGTATCTGGGAATATAGGCTATATTTGTTTGGTGAGACAAGTAGTGATAGAAAGAGCTTATGTTGTGAGAATGGCTAATAAAGATGGTTGAGAGGTGGCTTCGAAAATGGTAGCGGCTGATGTTTCAGATCCAATGTCTGAGCTTTTGAAAAATAAGCGTGAGAGAGCCAGGCTAGCGGCACAGCATTTTTCGAAATCTAAAAAGCCAAAGGCATCATATCATTCTCATTCGGAGCAGCCCCAGTACCAGGCTCCTATCTTTCAGGTGGACACTGTATCCACATCACAAATTGCACAGTTCTAGCCTTATGTTCTTTAGCTAGGTTTTCATCAACAAGTTTTGAGCTAGCCAATGAGTTTGCAAAATCAGTTTGGAGGTTCATTGACAGTTTCTCCTCAAACTGCTCAGACAAACCCACAGTTCTTACATGGTGAGGCAGCCTTTTAATCCAAATACTGGTGTGTCATCTCTGGTTCGGCAACAGCCATACTCCTCATTGCTCTACATTTCGAAAAGGGGTGACAAAAACAAGGGATTCAAAAGAAGAGAGGTAGTTTGCTACTTGTATGAAGGAAAAGAATATTTTGCCAATGAGTATAGCTCTAGAAAGCATCTCGGGTTGCCCTTTTGTGGTGATGGAGTCCAGCCAGGAGGTAGTTGACTATACTCAGGAATGTTGAAAAACATAAAGGCAATTTCGAGCAGCATTATAACAGGAAAAATTCACATACAGAGGGCAGTGAGATATTGGAAGGAGATAATAAAGCTATCTCAGTTAGTATTAAGGTGGCTAAAGAAAGGAATTCTCTTGTTTTCAAGGAATCTAATGCAATTAATAACCAGCCTGGACCTAAGGCCCTATCGCTTTACAGAGTTGGTTAGAAGAGAAGTTGAAGAGGCTAGAGTTAACAGGGGCTATAGTAAAAGTTGGCGTGAGCAGTATTCGTCCATCAGAGATACTGGAGGCGAGCCTGGTATTTTTAGTTCCAAAACAGGGACCTGGTAGTTCTGACTTGTAATTGACTTGTGCAGATTAAATCGAACCTTACTTCAGAAGTCTTTCCATTTCAAAGGACTGGGTGGCCTACTGCAGACAATTGAAAAAGGTTGGTGGTCAATCTCATTCGACCTAAAGGACGGTTACCACTATGTACTGATAAGTTCTAAGGTACAAAAGTTGTTGGACTTCGCAGTAGCAGAAACATAGTACTACTACAAAGTGTTGCCATTCGGTCTAAGCCAGGCTCCCTAGGTTTTCTCAAAGCTATTGAGAGCTCTGATCGGCAAATGGCGTACCCAGGGAATCTATTGTGGAAACCACCTGGATGATGTGTGGATTGCCCACCCAGTAAAGAAGGTATTGTTAGAAATAAGGGAAAAGGTTGTAAAAGTAGATTTAATAAGATGTGGATAGGTTCGAGCCAACAAGAAAGGGTGTTGAGACCCAACTCAGGCTCTAAAATTTTGCGGAATGGTGGTAGATACGTTAAACGAGATGGTGGTAGCACCAGAGGAAAAAATAGCGTCGATGATACTAAAGCTGGAAACTGTATTAAGAACACTAGTGGTAATAGCAAGGGACCTAGTCTCCGTAGCAGGAAAGATCGTAAATTTGGGAAGGGCGTTTCTTCCAAGCCAGGTGAAGTATATAGAATTTTACAAGCTGATAGACTCAAAGAATCGGCTTATTAAGTAGTGGAACAATAAGATTCATCTATCAATACAGGCAGTCGAGGATATTCAATGGCTGATAAAGAACCTAAAGAAGTAGAATGGCTGACTGGCCTAAAAACCCTTCCAGGTAAAGTCGGTATACGTCGATGCATCGACAAAGGGTTGATGCAAGATTTTTCAGAAACACAAAGCTTTAGGAAGTTGGGCCCAACCCATACCTCAAGAGTTATAGCCCAATTAGAGGCTTTGGCCATATTGCGAATACTGCAGTCTTTCAGGGAGTTGTTGAGAGCATCTGGGTTACTCTGTTTATCAACAACAAGATAGCTCTAAGGATAGTAGTAAATGGAGGCCCAATAGACTGGCAGAAAGATATTGCGAGGCAGATTTGGAAGCTAGGTGTGGAGGCTGATATTGAAATTTTCAGTACGAGGTGGGTTCCAAGCAAGTTGAACCTAGCAGATTCATTGACCAGAGTTCTAGACCAGGGAGATTGGGTATTAAGTTCGGAGGTGATAGCCTAGTTGAAGCTTG